AACATCTCCTAGCCACTGTGGTGGTGGTGATGATGAGAGAGAGACACTCAGAGACTCCAAATATACAGCAGCAGCAGGCGTCGTCAGGGTCGGGATGGAACCCACGACCTCCTGTACACCAGGCGAGGTAGTCAACATCTCATAGCCACCGTGATGATGATGATGATGAGAGAGAGACGCAGACTCCAAATATACAGCAGCGGGCGTCAGGGTCCGGGATGGAACCCACGACTTCCTGTACACCAGGCGAGGTAGTCAACATCTCCTAGCCACTGTGGTGGTGATGATGAGAGAGAGACACTCAGAGACTCCACATCTACAGCAGCAGCAGCAGTAGGCGTCGTCAGGGTCCGGGATGGAACCCACGACTTCCTGTACACCAGGCGAGGTAGTCAACATCTCCTAGCCACTGTGATGGTGATGATGATGAGAGAGAGACACTCAGAGACTCCACATCTACAGCAGCAGCAGCAGTAGGCGTCGTCAGGGTCCGGGATGGAACCCACGACCTCCTGTACACCAGGCGAGGTAGTCAACATCTCCTAGCCACTGTGGTGGTGGTGATGATGAGAGAGAGACACTCAGAGACTCCACATCTACAGCAGCAGCAGCAGGCGTCGTCAGGGTCGGGATGGAACCCACGACCTCCTGTACACCAGGCGAGGTAGTCAACATCTCATAGACACTGTGGTGGTGATGATGATGAGAGAGAGACACTCAGAGACTCCACATCTACAGCAGCAGCAGCAGGCGTCGTCAGGGTCGGGATGGAACCCACGACTTCCTGTGTACCAGGCGAGGTAGTCAACATCTCCTAGCCACTGTGGTGGTGGTGATGATGATGAGAGACACTCAGAGACTCCACATCTACAGCAGCAGCAGGCGTCGTCAGGGTCGGGATGGAACCCACGACTTCCTGTGTACCAGGCGAGGTAGTCAACATCTCCTAGCCACTGTGGTGGTGGTGATGATGATGAGAGACACTCAGAGACTCCACATCTACAGCAGCAGCAGGCGTCGTCAGGGTCGGGATGGAACCCACGACTTCCTGTGTACCAGGCGAGGTAGTCAACATCTCCTAGCCACTGTGGTGGTGGTGATGATGATGAGAGACACTCAGAGACTCCACATCTACAGCAGCAGCAGCAGTAGGTGTCGTCAGGGTCCGGGATGGAACCCACGACCTCCTGTGTACCAGGCGAGGTAGTCAACATCTCATAGCCACTGTGATGGTGATGATGATGAGAGAGAGACACTCAGAGACTCCACATCTACAGCAGCAGCAGCAGTAGGCGTCGTCAGGGTCCGGGATGGAACCCACGACATCCTACCTACAACATACGTACAGCACACGTACATACAACATGCATACAAAATTACAATCAACAAACATACAACATGCAAACAACACCGTCTGTGTGTGTGTGGCCTTACATCGTTACTGGGGAGACAAAGGCGGCCGGGCGTGGTGCTGGCCACCCACCCCCTCGTGTGCCACAGTGCCGGCAGCCTTCATAGGTGCTGCTACTCGCTACTAACAGCACTTGCCCCTACAGCCCTGTTAGAGGCTATACGGGGGATCTTTGTCTGTGTGTAGGTGCTGCTACTCGCTACTAACAGCACTTGCCCCTACAGCCTGTTAGAGGCTACACGGGGGATCTTTGTCTGTGTATAGGCGCTGCTGCTACTCGCTACTAACAGCACTTGCCCCTACAGTCTGTTAAGGCTACACGGGGGATCTTTGTCTGTGTATAGGCGCTGCTGCTACTCGCTACTAACAGCACTTGCCCCTACAGCCCTGCTAGAGGCTACACGGGGGATCTTTGTCTGTGTATAGGTGCTGTTACTCGCTACTAACAGAACTTGCCCCTACAGTCGGTTAAGGCTACACGGGGGATCTTTGTCTGTGTATAGGTGCTGCTACTCGCTACTAACAGCACTTGCCCCTACAGCCTGTTAGAGGCTACACGGGGGATCTTTGTCTGTGTATAGGCGCTGCTGCTACTCGCTACTAACAGCACTTGCCCCTACAGCCCTGTTAGAGGCTACACGGGGGATCTTTGTCTGTGTATAGGTGCTGCTGCTACTCGCTACTAACAGCACTTGCCCCTACAGCCTGTTAGAGGCTATACGGGGGATCTTTGTCTGTGTCTAGGTGCTGCTACTCGCTACTAACAGCACTTGCCCCTACAGCCTATTAGAGGCTACACGGGGGATCTTTGTCTGTGTATAGGCGCTGCTGCTACTCGCTACTAACAGCACTTGCCCCTACAGTCTGTTAAGGCTACACGGGGGATCTTTGTCTTGGGGGCCTTACATCGGAAAATAGATCAGAGATGACGTTTCGGGCTATGTGCCTTCTTCTTCATCCCAAATAATCGTTTCACATACCACTTAAATGGAACTGTGTGCGCTGTACAAGGGCCATTGCCCGAAACGTTGCCTATTGTATACGTCTCCTCTCACAAAGACAAAGATTCCCCGTATAGCATTTAAAGACTGTTGGGGAAAGGGGGCGGGTGGCCAGCAACACGCTCGACCGCCTTTGTCTCCCTAGTGGCGATGTTTGCTACACACCGCCACCAGGTACTCATTTGAGGCTGAGTCGACCTAAAGGAGGTCCAGGACCGGTTCAGATAATCGTCACTGCTGGTGTTGGCCTCGAGCGAAAATCGAACTCGGGTGGGGAGGTTCGTAGTGCAGCATAGCGCTAACCACTACAATACCGCTCCCCACACAGACAGCGACACGTAGAGATGGACATACAAGGAGACAAACACACACGGACACACACACATAGACACACACATAGACACACAGACACACACAAACACACACACACAAACATAGACACACAGATACACACAGAAACACACACAGACACACACATAGACATACAGACACACACAAACACACACACAGATACACACAGACACACAAATAGACACACAGATACACACAGACACACACAAACACACATAGACACACAGATACACACAGACACACACAAACACACGCGCACACACGTAGAAACACAGATACACACATAGACACACACAGACACACACATAGACACACACATAGACACACAGATACACACAGACACACACACAGACACACACATAGACACACAGATACACACATAGACACACAGACACACACATAGACACACACATAGACACACAGATACACACAGACACACACAAACAGACACGCACACACAGACGCACACACAGATACACACACAGACACACACATAGACACACACAGAAGCACAAAGATACACACAGAACACACACACAGACACACACACACAAACAGACACATACACACACAGACACACAGATACACACATACACACAACAACAACCGCCATTCGCCACTAAGTGGCGGTGACGTCACCACGACGCTTGTGCCAGGCTATGTGCAACCTGAGGCCACGTGAAGTGTCGAACGCCCGCTGGCAGGAGGTCACGGGGCAGACCCAGGTGCCACGGGTCGACTGACTGAGATGACTGGCTGATGCACCACCTGTGCCCCCTACTATGCCAACCTGCTGTGCTTTAGCCACCCGGCGCTCCGCTCGTTGTTGTGAGCGTCGCTCCTCCACCCTCCGTTGTTGTTGGAGGGCGACTGCCTCCAACTGCCCAGTAGCATCCTTCACGAGCCTCCTCCACAGAGGCCGATCTTGACACCGCTGGTACCAGTCATCGGCAAGTCCACTCAGCTCCACGTCATCCTATACCACATCACTCCATCTCTTCTCTAGCCCATGCCGCGCCCGCTTAGCCCCCTCGATCCGGCCAAACAAAAGCTGTTTCGGCATGCGGTGGCTGGGCATGCGGGCTACATGACCCAGCCAACGCAGCCTTGCCCGCCGGAGGAGCTCACCGATGGGACCTTGCCCAGATCTTTCAAGGATTTGTGAGCTCCTCACACAATCCAGTCTGGTTAAACCCAGGATGGATCGTAGGCAGGCCAGCCTAAATGTTTCTAACCGGTGAAGATGTTCCATTAAGGGGGTCCACGTTTCGCAAGCATAGAGAAGGGAGGGAATGACCGTGGCCGAGAAGACCTGAAGCTTAGTGCGGAGCGACAGACCAGGTAGCTTCCACACAGCATTACGCAACCGATGAAAATATATTGCCGCTCGACTGATTCGGAGTGAGACACACACACAGACACACACACAGACATACACACACACATACACACACAGACATACACACACACATACACACACACATACACACACAGACATACACACACACGTACACACACAGACATACACACACACATACACAGACACACACACAGACACACACACACAGACACACCCCCACACAGACACACACAGACATACACACACACATACACACACAGACATACACACACACGTACACACACAGACATACACACACATACACAGACATACACACAGACACACACATACACACACAGACACACACACAGACACACACACAGACACACACACAGACACACACAGACACACACACACACAGACACACACACAGACACACACAGACACACACACACAGACACACACAGACACACACACAGACACACACACAGACACACACACACAGACACACACAGACACACACAGACACACACAGACATACACACACACATACACACACAGACATACACACACACGTACACACACACAGACATACACACACACATACACAGACATACACACAGACACACACACAGACACACACACAGACACACACAGACACACACAGACACACACACAGACACACACACACACAGACACACACACAGACACACACACAGACACACACAGACACACACACATACAGACAAACACACACACATACACACACACAGACACACACACACAGACACACACACACACACAGACACACACACAGACACACACAGACACACACACAGACACACACAGACACACACACAGACACACACACACAGACACGTGTGTGTGTGTGTGTTACCGTGATGTTGGCGAGGAGTTTGCCATGCGACGCCCAAACGGTTTTGGTGGCGATGCCTACGACGGCGGCGTCCGTGAACTTGCCCATGGCCATGAGGTTCTCCACGTAGCTGTTCCACGACATCGTCCGCTCGGAAAGTTCGCTCGCCCGACAAGTTCGAGGTTCTATCGATGTATTGATTTATTTGTTTCGTAGTAAACTTTGGAGCAAATTTTTTTTTCAATCGAAAAAAGGTTAAGTTTATTTTTAATAAAAATGTTTTGCTGGTGGTGGGTTGGTGATGGTGGTGGTGGGTTGGTGATGGTGGTGGTGGGTTGGTGATGGTGGTGGTGGTGGGTTGGTGATGGTGGTGGTGGGTTTGGTGATTGATGGGCTCAGCTCACACGCGAAGCTCAATCAGCCCGTGCGAGCGAGTGGCGACGCGGGGAAGGAAGTACCCCGACTACTTATACGGCTGTGCGTGTGTGTGTGCGTGTGTGCGTGTGTGTGTGTGCGTGTCTGCGTGTGTGTGTGCGTGCGTGTGCGTGTGTGCGTGTGTGTACTCACACTCACGCACGCACGCACACGCATTCTACGTACATTCAAGCACACAAAACATACATCTCCAAAGACATACACACGTATATCTTTTTACAAATATATACACACATATGCATCTGCAAAGACACACACACATATGCATTTCGTGGTGGCCGGGTCATCGGTGGTGGCCGGGTCATTGGTGGTGGGTTTGCAGCGCATCTATGGGTCTGTGTGAGTGAGTCTATGGGTCTGTGTGGAGTGGGTCTATGGGTCTGTGTGTGAAGTGAGTCTATGGGTCTCTGTGTGAGTCTATGGGTCTCTGTGTGAGTGAATCTATGGGTCTCTATGTGAGTGAGTCGATGGGTCTCTGTGTGAGTCTATGGGTCTCTGTGTGAGTGAATCTATGGGTCTCTGTGTGAGTGAGTCTATGAGTCTCTGTGTGAGTGAGTCTATGAGTCTCTGTGTGAGTCTATGGGTCTCTGTGTGAGTGAGTCTATGGGTATGTGTGAGTCTACGATTCTCTGTGTGAGTGGGTCTGTGTGAGTCTATGTATCTCTGTGTAACTGAGTCTGTGCGTTTCTGTGTGAGTGAGTCTATTGGTCTCTGTGTGATTGAGTCTATGGGTCTCTGTGTGAGTGAGTCTATGGGTCTGTGTGAGTGAGTCTATGGGTCTGTGTGAGTGAGTCTATGGGTCTCTGTGTGAGTGAGTCTATGGGTCTCTGTGTGAGTAAGTCTATGGGTCTCTGTGTGAGTGAGTCTATGGGTCTGTGTGAGTGAGTCTATGGTTCTGTGTGAGTGAATCTATGGGTCTCGGTGTGAGTGAGTCTATGGGTCTAGGTGTGCCTCAGTCTATGGGTGTGTGTGAGTCTATGGGTCTCGGTGTGAGTCTATGGGTCTCTGTGTGAGTGAGTCTATGGGTCTCTGTGTGATGAGTCTATGGGTCTCTATGTGAGTGAGTCTATGGGTCTCTGTGTGAGTGAATCTATGGGTCTCTGTGTGAGTCTATGGGTCTCTGTGTGAGTGAGTCTATGGGTCTCTGTGTGAGTGAGTCTATGGGTCTCTGTGTGAGTGAGTCTATGGGTCTCTTTGTGAGTCTATGGGTCTCTGTGTGAGTGAGTCTATGGGTCTCTGTGTGAGTCTATGGGTCTCTGTGTGAGTGAGTCTATGGGTCTTTGTGTGAGTGAGTCTATGGGTCTCTGTGTGAGTGAGTCTATGGGTGTCTGTGTGAGTGAGTCTATGGGTGTCTGTATGAGGGAGTCTATGGGTGTTTGTGTGGAGTGAGTCTATGGCTCTGTGTGAGTCTATGATTCTCTGTGTGAGTCTATGGTTCTCTGTGTGAGTCTATGGTTCTCTGTGTGAGTGAATCTATGGGTCTGTGTGGAGTGAGTCTATGGGTCTCTGTGTGAGTGAGTCTATGGGTCTCTGTGTGAGTGAGTCTATAGGTCTCTGTGTGAGTGAGTCTATGGGTCTCTGTGTGAGTGAGTCTATGGGTCTACGTGTGAGTGAGTCTATGGGTCTCTGTGTCAGTGAGTTTATGGGTATCTGTGTGAGTGAGTCTATGGGTCTGTGTGGAGTGAGTCTATGGGTCTCCGGGTGTGAGTGAGTCTATGGGTCTCTGTGTGAGTGAGTCTATGGGTCTCTGTGTGGAGTGAGTCTATTGGTCTCTGTGTAAGTGAGTCTATGGGTCTCTGTGTGAGTGAGTCTATGGGTCTCTGTGTGAGTGAGTCTATGGGTCTGTGTGAGTGAGTCTATGGGTTTCTGTGTGAGTGATTCTGTGTCTCTGTGTGAGTGAGTCTATGGGTCTCTGTGTGAGTGAGTCTATGGGTCTCTGTGTGAGTCTATGGATCTCTGTGTGAGTGAATCTATGGGTCTCTGTGTGAGTCTATGGGTCTCTGTGTGAGTGAGTCTATGGGTCTGTGTGGAGTGAGTCTGTGGATCTGTGTGAGTCTATGATTCTATGTGTGAGTGAGTCTATGGTTCTCTGTGTGAGTGAGTCTATGGTTCTCTGTGTGAGTGAGTCTATGGGTCTAGGTGTGAGTGAGTCTATGGGTCTGTGTGAGTTAGTCTATGGTTCTGTGTGAGAGCATCTATGGGTCTCTGTGTGAGTGAGTCTATGGGTCTCTGTGTGAGTGAGTCTATGGGTCTCTGTGTGAGTGAGTCTATGAGTCTCTGTGTGAGTGAGTCTATGGGTCTCTGTGTGAGTGAGTCTATGGGTCTCTGTGTGAGTCTATGGGTCTGTGTGGAGTGAGTCTATGGGTCTCTGTGTGAGTGAGTCTATGGGTCTCTGTGTGGAGTGAGTCTATGGGTCTCTGTGTGGAGTGAGTCTATGGGTCTGTGTGAGTGAGTCTATGGGTCTGTGTGTGAGTGAGTCTATAGGTCTCTGTGTGAGTGAGTCCATGGGTCTCTGTGTGAGTGAGTCTATGGGTCTCCGTGTGAGTGGGTCTATGGGTCTATGTGTGAGTGAGTCTATGGGTCTCTGTGTGAGTGAGTTCATGGGTCTCGGTGTGAGTGAGTCTATGGGTCTCCGTGTGAGTGAGTCTATGGGTCTGTGTGGAGTGAGTCTATGGGTCTCTGTGTGAGTGAATCTATGGGTCTCTGTGTGAGTCTATGGGTCTCTCTGTGAGTCTATGGGTCTCTGTGTTAGTGAGTCTATGAGTCTCTGTGTGAGTGAGTCTATGGGTCTCTGTGTTAGTGAGTCTATGGGTCTCTGTGTGAGTGAGTCTATGGGTCTCTGTGTGAGTCTATGGGTCTCTGTGTGAGTGAGTCTATGGGTCTCTGTGTGAGTGAGTCTATGGGTCTGTGTGGAGTGAGTCTATGGGTCTCTGTGTGAGTGAATGTATGGGTCTCTGTGTGAGTCTATGGGTCTCTGTGTGAGTGAGTCTATGAGTCTCTGTGTGAGTCTATGGGTCTCTGTGTGAGTGAGTCTATGGGTCTCTGTGTGAGTGAGTCTATGGGTCTGTGTGGAGTGAGTCTATGGCTCTGTGTGAGTCTATGATTCTCTGTGTGAGTCTATGGTTCTCTGTGTGAGTCTATGGTTCTCTGTGTGAGTGAGTCTATGGGTCTAGGTGTGAGTGAGTCTATGGGTCTGTGTGAGTGAATCTTTGGGTCTCTGTGTGAATAAGTCTATGGGTCTCTGTGTGAGTGAGTCTATGGGTCTGTGTGGAGTGAGTCTATGGCTCTGTGTGAGTCTATGATTCTTTGCGTGAGTCTATGGGTCTCTGTGTGAGTCTATGGTTCTCTGTGTGAGTGAGTCTATGGGTCTAGGTGTGAGTGAGTCTATGGGTCTGTGTGAGTGAATCTATGGGTCTCTGTGTGAGTAAGTCTATGGGTCTCTGTGTGAGTGAGTCTATGGGTCTGTGTGGAGTGAGTCTATGGCTCTGTGTGAGTCTATGATTCTCTGTGTGAGTCTATGGTTCTCTGTGTGAGTCTATGGTTCTCTATGTGAGTGAGTCTATGGGTCTAGGTGTGAGTGAGTCTATGGGTCTCTGTGTGAGTGAGTCTATGGGTCTCTGTGTGAGTGAGTTTATGAGTCTCTGTGTGAGTCTATGGGTCTTTGTGTGAGTGAGTCTATGGGTCTGTGTGAGTCTACGATTCTCTGTGTGAGTGGGTCTGTGTGAGTCTATGTATCTCTGTGTAACTGAGTCTGTGCGTTTCTGTGTGAGTGAGTCTATTGTTCTCTGTGTGAGTGAGTCTATGGGTCTCTGTGTGAGTGAATATATGGGTCTCTGTGTGAGTGAGTCTATGGGTCACTGTGTGAGTGATTCTATGGGTCTAGGTGTGAGTGAGTCTGTGGGTCTCTGTGTGAGTGAGTCTATGGGTCTCTGTGTGAGTGAGTCTATGGGTCTCTGTGTGAGTCTATGGGTCTCTGTGTGAGTGAGTCTATGGGTCTCTGTGTGAGTGATTCTGTGTCTCTGTGTGAGTGAGTCTATGGGTCTCTGTGTGAGTGAGTCTATGGGTCTCTGTGTGAGTCTATGGATCTCTGTGTGAGTGAATCTATGGGTCTCTGTGTGAGTCTATGGGTCTCTATGTGAGTGAGTCTATGGGTCTGTGTGGAGTGAGTCTGTGGATCTGTGTGAGTCTATGATTCTATGTGTGAGTGAGTCTATGGTTCTCTGTGTGAGTGAGTCTATGGTTCTCTGTGTGAGTGAGTCTATGGGTCTAGGTGTGAGTGAGTCTATGGGTCTGTGTGAGTTAGTCTATGGTTCTGTGTGAGTGCGTCTATGGGTCTCTGTGTGAGTGAGTCTATGGGTCTCTGTGTGAGTGAGTCTATGGGTCTCTGTGTGAGTGAGTCTATGAGTCTCGGTGTGAGTGAGTCTATGGGTCTCTGTGTGAGTGAGTCTATGGGTCTCTGTGTGAGTCTATGGGTCTGTGTGGAGTGAGTCTATGGGTCTCTGTGTGAGTGAGTCTATGGGTCTCTGTGTGGAGTGAGTCTATGGGTCTGTGTGAGTGAGTCTATGGGTCTGTGTGTGAGTGAGTCTATAGGTCTCTGTGTGAGTGAGTCCATGGGTCTCTGTGTGAGTGAGTCTATGGGTCTCCGTGTGAGTGGGTCTATGGGTCTATGTGTGAGTGAGTCTATGGGTCTCTGTGTGAGTGAGTCCATGGGTCTCGGTGTGAGTGAGTCTATGGGTCTCCGTGTGAGTGAGTCTATGGGTCTGTGTGGAGTGAGTCTATGGGTCTCTGTGTGAGTGAATCTATGGGTCTCTGTGTGAGTCTATGGGTCTCTGTGTGAGTCTATGGGTCTCTGTGTTAGTGAGTCTATGAGTCTCTGTGTGAGTGAGTCTATGGGTCTCTGTGTTAGTGAGTCTATGGGTCTCTGTGTGAGTGAGTCTATGGGTCTCTGTGTGAGTCTATGGGTCTCTGTGTGAGTGAGTCTATGGGTCTCTGTGTGAGTGAGTCTATGGGTCTGTGTGG